TGGACTTGCTCAAGAAAATTAGTAATAAGAACCCTATGATCATCCCATAACTCCAAAACATACTGTTCATGTTGCCGAGGAGGTCTTGTAGCAGCAGAAAGATCGACTCTGGGAAGACGCTGATCCCCTCCTTGATGCACAACTTGCCCCGCACGAAGGAACCGAAAAGGGTTTGGATTAGTATTCGCCATTGAAGCTTGCAGATTGGATTGAGGTGCTGAGTTTGCTAGCTGGAGAGAGGAAGAAGGAGCGTCTTTTGTAGAAGAAGGGATAACTTTTTTAACCCATTGTTTTTTAGCCATAGGCCTAACAGATTTAATGCTCGTAACAACCTCCTTACCAGCAGGCTTAGCAATAGTATTAGATTTCACAAGATTAGACTTTCCCAATGAAACAGACTTTTGGGCCTTACTGCACAACCTTCTAATATGGCCCAAGTTGAAACAAAGATTGCACCGAACAGCAGACTTACAAAATCGAGCCAAATGACCCGGATCCAAGCAACGGAAACAAATCAAATTTGAATTCCGAGGATGATCCAAAGAAAATGGATCCAGCTGCGTACCTTTCTCGACATTGTTAACATCAGCTCCGGCGATCACCGGAGAAGAAGAAGAAGAAATAAGGGGCCACTTCAAACGGCTGAAAACTGAAGACACAGGCACATCTTTATGAGAAGAAGAAGCCGCTTTTGCATAAGAAGAATGTTTCCTCTGAACCAAAGTCCATTCAGCATCCTGCTCATTCTGCCAAGAAAAGAATTCCTTTCTCCAATTTGGTCTGCCATCTCTCTAAAGGAAGAAACGAATGCAAAAGTCCTTACAAGTATAAGACCTAAGAGAATAAATCCAGAGACCAATAGATTTGGAGCAAACCAGGAAAGAGAAACACCGATCAATTAGATGATGAACTTGAAAACCACTAGGAGAACCACCAATGGCCGCACGTAATGCAAGAGCCACTGAAGAAGTAGTCAAACGAAAGTTGGATCGCGGAACATCAACCACCAAACGAAAAGGAGAAGAGCTAAAGGAAGAAGAGAAATGCACTGGAAGACCAAAACGATGAGACACCTCATCACGGAGAGCATCCTCCGGAGAGAAGTCCCAACCCCCTGGAGGCGCCGGTGTGACCATCGACACTCATGGGAGATCGCCATTGAAATTGCCAGAGCCCTCCCAAAATGCCTTTTTTTCTCTTTCTCTTTTTCTCTCTCTTTTTTCATTCCCGTTAATTAGAATTATCACTGTAGCATATTAATCGGTAAATTAACTAATCATCTCCGTGAGGCATGAAAGATCAAGTCATCTAACCTTGTATTGGGACGAGTTTTGGTGATTAATGATAACGATTGTTGGAATTAACCTTTACTATGAGTTTGTGATGGTAGGTTATGTTTTAGCATCAAGTGAAAAGGTTGATGGCTCATATGTAAGGATCAAGTAATAGGATTATGTACTGATGACAAGACAGATGATGCCTCACATATTGGGAATCAATGAGATGTTTGATGAGATCCCATAATGAGTTGATGGACATGTTGAAGGAGATAAATATCATGGTTGAAGATAACAAAAATGAAGATGGTGTAAGAAGCTACAAGATTGAGGACCCCTTTGAATGGCGGTACTGAAAAAATAGGGGAATAGGAAAAACACTATACTCTGATAGGAAATGCAGGTGTAAAACAGAGGATTGCAAAACATACGAAAAACATGGGAATGGTCGTTTGATTGGATTGTAGGAAAAATGCAGGAACCGGATGAGAGAAATAGACTCAAAAGAAAAATTCCAACAGGTTAGAGCTCTTGCTAAGTTCCTCCAAGATCTATATGCAATGAGCCATTCCATAGGAATTTCATGTGATTTGAAAAGCTTCAATCCTTTGAGTCAAATGGCCACATAGGAAAAATTCCTATAGGATTAGAATCATATGAAATTCCTGCATAAAATTATTTGATCCAAAGGGCCCCTGAACACGCGGAGTATAAAAAGGCTACCTATGACAATACGGTGAAGCGCAAGCGAAGCATGGCTATGATAGACCGTGTGGTGATGAAGGGCAAGCAAGGGACTTGGCGTCGACAAACCGAATCCGGTGGAGAAGGACAAGTGAAGACATTGTCGTACGGGCCGTAGGAGACCATTTGAAGCTATGGATTATGTGTATCAATCAGATCGTCGAAAATGGACTCCGGAGTAAGAAGTTACACATTTTTTTTCTTGGTTGTTGTCAGGTGGCCATGAGACTTCGAGTACTCAAGAAGGCTTCCCTGAGGCTTTGGGCCGGGACTTGGAGACTCCGGGCCTATGCAAGCCAGGCTTCCAAGAGGCTCTGGAAATAACATCCATGCACCCGAGAAGGTTTCCCGTGTGTTAGCAGTTAGTTCTTGGGGTGGACCGAAGGCTCCAGGCCAAATCCAGGAGACTTCGGGGTATGCGCATAAACATGAGTAACGACTATTTTCTTTAGAGCTCGGGTATTTGAACCCCTCCATCCATGGTTTCTAACTTTGGACAAGAGTAGAACCATCCAAAACCAAAGAGCCACTCTCTGATATCATACCTTTGTGGTAGAACTCTTTTGTGAGTGTGATTTGAGAAGGGGATTTGAGAATATAAGGATTTGGGATTGAGAGAGAGGTTGAGAATAGAAGTTGAGAGCTACTTTGAGCATTTAAGTTCATAGCAAGCAAATCTTCGATTGTGTTTAATACTTTTGGAGGTCAACCCTCCTTGACGACAAGGCATCACCCGGTGAGCTTCCAACCATGTGGTGAACCACGGAAAGTTTGTGAAGGTTTCCCTCATCTCAACAAGGAAAGAGTTATGCTTGGTAGAGCAAGTGCCACCGGTGGATTGGGGCTCATCATCTAAACAAACATTGGGGTCATTTAAAGACTTGCTAATCCTAAGTGGTTGCTTGGAAACCTAGTCTTCCTTGTGATTGCTAGCTTGGTGAGGAAAGGGATCAAGTGAGATCTGGCTCCCTGGAGCCTCTCAACGGAGATGTAGGATTCTCGAAGGAGAATCCGAACTTCGGGAACAAATCGTTTGTCTCCTCGCACTCTTTTACCGTTTTTGTGCTATTGATAGATATCTCTTTTGCGAGTTACTTGTGATAGCTTGTGTATCTTGTTTTCTACTAGTTTACATCCATTATTGCTATATTTTCTATGTACTAGTTGTGTTGATGGCTTGTTCCCCTTTGGGGGTATTTTCCTGTCATCTCGGAGACTCCAATCTCCTAGGCCTAGAGATTCCGAGTGCTACTAATCCGCTGTAAAAGAGTTTTAAATTTTCAGGAAATGCCTATTCACTACCCTATAGACGATATAAAGATTCTTTCAAGGTGGAGTCTAGACACTTGGCCATGTTGTAGTAAGTATCATATTTTATGGTTTTAAGTAGCACAACCACATTTTTTAAGTGGTTAAATATAGTTTTCCCCTTATATGATTATTTGCAATTGCAGAACAACATAAGCATTATACCATTCTAGATTATCCGTGGTACAATTATACATAGTTAAAATTTCTGGATGTCACGAGAATTTACATATGAAATATGTTTATATTCTATCATACTTCTAAGAATTTACTAACTAAATGTCCGTACTTTGCTATTGGCACAAAAAAAAATTGTTTACAGTAAATTAAATTGTACTTTTTAATATATGTTTTGTATCCTTTCACTATAGGGAATATTGACCTTATATGATTTTATACATGCTATCCATTAAGATTCGATTTTTTTTAAAAAAAAACAAGGAGTTCAAGAGATAATTTTTTTTAAAGAAAACAGGGTAGACAGGAACAAATTTACTGCAACTAGCACTACTTCATTTTAGGAATATAGATATATTAGACCACTTTAAGAGTTGTTTAGTCACGTCTACCATTGTTATAACTCGTGCTGGGCAAGGATGTCAATTTTTTTTTTGCCCAATAAATTGTTATAATCATGATTGTAACAAAGTTAGAAAGTAAATATTAAGAAACTACAACAAATCATAGCTATAGTAATAAATCAAACACATGACGTGGCGAACTAGATCTTCCAATTCCCTCCCAAATACTCCCGAGTGATTCCAACTATTAAGGCCGGACGTTTGACCGGATATCGGAAGGGGTTTTCGAACACAAATTAAAAAAATAATTTCATAACTCGACTGGAAACCACGAGATGAATCTTTTGAGCCTAATTAAGCCGTCATTAGCACTTATGGCTAATCATGGACTAATTAGGTTCAAAAGATTCGTCTCATGATTTCTCTCATAACTGTGCAATTATTTTTTATTTTTATCTATATTTAATGTTTCATGCATATATTCAAATATTCGATGTGACTTTTTGGGAAAAAAAAATTAGTAACTAAATAGGGCCTAATTCTGCGCGACTCGTTACTTCAATCCTGATTTCTCCCGTACCGTTGCTGGAGTCCCAGCTGCACCAGACAAAGGACTACAGTGCTGCCGCCTACTTGTTCCAGGACACTCATCTGCATGGCCATGTGCCGCACAGCGATGTCACTGGCGCCTACACTTGCTACGAACAAATGCCAAGACTTACTCACATGGCACGAGCCCAATCTGGTCCCCCCTCCTCCGTGCTAAACAACACAGAGCGAGGCCCCATGCAGAACTGTTGTTGTGAACTCGCTGTCCCCCTGTCTGAATCTCTCGCAGCGACGAACTGCCCGATAGATTCAAACAAAGGTCAGAATTCTTAATTTTGTCGACAGGTTGGACGACAACGATAGCGGTCCAGTGCTCCATTGATCTGTCCCTGCACTCGCACTGCAAATTTTCGTCCACGTTTAAAATTTGAGCAGAATCTGGGAGTTTGAGAGCAGATCGGATGAATTTTTCTCGTCTTTTCGCGTGGCGCTGATGATTTTTTTGAGCTGAGATTCCGCGGGTCAAAGCGGAAACCGAACGAGGCGGCTACACCTACACGGGGGCTCGCGTCCTCCTTTCCACGGAGACGAAAGCTAGCGCGGCCGAAAGCGACGCGCACCCAAAGCCCAACACAACACAACACGGAGCCAAAAGCTACCGCTCCCGTCCCTCTCCTTCTCGCCTCGCCTGGTTCTCTCATCGCACAGGAGGAATTCGGAGGTGAACCCAACCGGCCACACAATTCTTGGGTGCTTTGTTCCCCATCCGCTTCGTCCCTCCCTCCCTTCCCCCGATCTGCTGATCCGGGGCTCCACGCACGAAAGTGCGCGCGCGCCCGGTTTTGGGCTCTAGTGCTTTGGAGTCGTCCGCGTTGCACCAAATTTGGCCTTTTTTAGGTGGGGGAGCTTGGATCCTTTCGTCTGCGGATTTTGGTTGCTGGGGGTGGGGGGGTTTCTTCTTGCGATGGTTTTGCGCTGATAGGGGGAGGGGATCTTGGGAGTTGGAGGAGGATTAACCTCGTCAAACCCTCCTCTCTTCCTCACCCACGTCTGATTCGATGAGTTGTGGGTGTCTCCTCCCAATCCGAGATTGCCGGAGATGGTTGCCGCAGTAGCAGCTTCGTTGAGATCTCTCGCACCTCTATCCGCCTATCGCTCTCCTTCCCATGGTATCCATGCCGTCGTCAGGGACTCGTCGGCGTACACCACCCGACCCCCGCCGCCGCCGCCGACGGCAGATGGCGGTGGTAATGGAGGGAGGATTAGCCCCGCGGTGTTGTTCATCATAGTGATTCTTGCGGTCATCTTCTTCATCTCCGGCCTTCTCCACCTCCTGGTGAGGCTGCTGATGAAGAAGCAGCACCGCCGTGGTGGAGCCGAGAATGCCGCCCCGTCGCCGCACAGCCGGCATGTCGGGCGGGACGCCGCGATGGACCGGCAGCTCCAGCAGCTGTTCCACTTGCACGATTCTGGGCTCGACCAGGCGTTCATCGACGCGCTGCCGGTGTTTGCCTACCGCGACATTGTTGGTGGTGACAAGGAGCCGTTTGATTGTGCAGTGTGCTTGTGTGAGTTCGACGGTGAGGACAGGCTCAGGTTGTTGCCGGTGTGTGGTCATGCCTTCCATCTGCATTGTATAGATACATGGCTGCTGTCCAATTCGACGTGCCCGCTTTGCCGTGGTACGCTCTATGTCCCCGGATTGACCATAGAGAGCCTGATGTTTGATTTTGATGAGAGGTTGGAGGAGGGCCGGCTGTCGGAAGAATGCGAGGATGGATTCCAATCTTCCAGACAGAAGAAGCCCATGGATGAGGAACAAACAGTAACTGAGAAGAGAGTTTTTCCTGTAAGGCTTGGGAAGTTCAAGAATGTCGGGAACACTGGTGTGGGTGGTGTTGACAATGGCAATGCAGCTGGTATAGTGAGTAGGGAACCAGGGGAGAGTAGCAGTAGCAGCTTGGATACGAGGAGGTGCTTCTCCATGGGCACTTACCAATATGTTCTTGGGGCTTCTGAACTTCGAGTGGCTCTCCAGCCAGGTCGTAACAAAAATGGCGTGGGCAGCAGGTTGAAGGGAAGAGCTACTGGCATAAGCTCTGTCAATGCTGAAATTATGGAGGGCAAGAGGATTTGTGCAAAGAGTAAAGGTGAGAGCTTCTCCATGTCGAAGATTTGGCAGTGGTCTAATGTGAAGGGCAAGCTGCCAGCTGGTTCAGACAATTGCTCAGAAACGGCGAGTTTTCCGTGGATGAAGAGAGATGCTACTGGAGATAAGTCAAATATGTGACACTGTCTATAGTTCTTTCTTTTGTAGTGCTGGTTGTTGAATTTCTTAACTATAGCTATTCTTTTGGTCTAATTTCACATGTGTATGTTTTTCACTAGAATGACCATCCCCATCGAAAGATAATTTTTGACAGGCTTACATATTTCACCCTGCTTGTGATTGTTCAGGATTAATGCAGTTTCCACTGTTTCTTGTATCAGTATATGATAATAGGTGTTCTAGATTACTCAGTTTCCTTTTATTATGTTCATCAAATAGGAACCTGTGCTGCGATGTAATAACCAGACAACTGCACAGATTGCTTGCATCATCAATTTACTAATAGAACATATTCCCTTAGTGTCACCTTTGGACATTTTGGTCACATCTGGGATTTAAGTCGCAGGAGTACCCATTTAAGGAGAAACCTCTGATTAACGACCTGCAATTTCCTGGGATGATTGCATAAAGTCTGAGTAAACCCATCAGTCATTTCATTGTAACCCCCCCAAAAAAGAACTCACATATCGCAGTGATGTATGTGCTTCAGTGCCTGTATCCTACTATCTTCTACTCCCTCATACATAAATTTTATTTCAATCTCTAGCATAACAATATAGGCATGTGCATGATAATTCATTATGGGAAATTTTTAAAAAGTAGAGCATATGGAAGGAAAGATTGTGAGCATTTTTTTCTTCAAAACATAGGAAGGCATATGTTTCTGAACAAGAAGGGTCTATAACGACATCTTGTTTTTGAATGATAATATCATTATAAAGTGCACTTTTGGACGTCTTATCATAATTGTTGGAGGATTGAAGTTCTAACTTGCTTTAGCTACCAATTTGGACTGATGGTAAATAACTATATAGTTTTTACATCTTGCTGGAAGTTAATTTTTTTCTTTTACTTTGTTGTTCCTGATAAGTAACCAGAAAGATGCATGGAGGGCCTTTACTTTGCATGACTCAGGGTGCATTCTCTTAGCAATGTACTAAATATTTAAATCCAAATAAATACCTTAGAGATTAATGTTCTTACTTTTAAAAGATGCTTTCTGGATTTTACAATACCATCTTCAAGAATCTCTTAACTTGCATGGTAGAACCATATTTTTTTTTCTCTTTTGGCATCGCAGAAAGCATTCCATGAGCTTTCTTCGTCCATGATAACTTTCTTCATCCATGATAAGTCTGAAACCCTTTATTCAAAGCCAGATACCTTCGTTTTCAATTAATATTTCCATTATACCAATGGTAACTATTTGGGATTTGCAGTATTTTACATGTCAATAAATTGCAGTGATATCTATTGTTCATCACTCTGAAAGGTGTAACCCTTCATTGTTGCAAATGTTGGTCATGTCCTTCCTCCTTTTCTTTTCCTTTGACTTCCTTGTCCGTTAAAAACTCATTATTACCGCTGCTATTTGTTTGATAATATCAGACAAGTAGCAACCATTGTCTTTTGTCAATCCTGCTTGTGCCCAAGCTTTTGCTTATCGCTCGAGGTTTCCAACTCAAAATAGTTTCAGCTTTTGGTTATTGCGCCAGGTGGTGATGACTAGGTTTTTGAGTGCCATTGATATTTATCATGTTATTATTATATTACATGATACTAGCTGTTAGAGAGCTGTTAGTGGTTTACAATACTTGTATAGTGCCATACTAAATTATAAAGTCTCTCATCTTTAGCATATTTAATCACAGAGCAATGAAGAAGTGCCAGCCCTCACACACCCACACCACACTGATTAAACAATATGTGTACTACCGACAAGATTTCCAGCGTTTTGCTTTTGAGATCTGAGCTACTAAAATCATTGGTGTGCAAATGATTAGTGTTCAACCAGTACCAAATGCTGCAGGCAACTACTGCAATCATAGCGAGATGCCGATTCGGCAGAACTATTGTTTACAGCAGTTCCAGTAGCCGCTGTTTTTTTTCTTTTGTATCTCTTGCTAGTAGTACATTGTTTACCAGCTGTTCAGAGAATGGTTCCTTGGAAAAGCCAGATTTGGTCAATTCATGCAAATATTCCTTCTTGTTGCAAGTTTTAGACTCTACTTGTACATATCATTGTACAAACATTGGGACCACGGGCTTCAGGTCTCAGCAATCATGTCCCAGGTGAAGTGGGGATTCTGCTTTCTTTTGGAAGCGCATTTCTTTGATTAAATATTCCATATGTTACTGACTGTAACAAACAAATTATTGTTCAAATGGGCAGATCATAGCGTGACCAATTGAACGCAACAGAATCATGCATGTAACGTATGGGTAAAGACAAAGATAGGATGAAATAAGGAAATGATATGCTTCTGCTCACAGTTATCATACTCTATATCTTCGATCTTTATTTTCATGGATTACGTGTTGTTTTTGTAACAAATCAATATGATCCATTGGATGGTTGGAGTAGCTGTGAATGTCTGTAGGCTTTACGAGCTGGCACTCTTATTAGACATCAAATGATCAAAGTGGTAGTACTATATCCAATCCACCAAACTGTTTCTGGTATGATTTGATGCAACGCAAATAATCCTATATTGCTCAGCAAGTACCTACCTGTTCATAGTTAGATATGACTAGTATCAATCACGATTGCCTGCCTGGAATTCAATACCATGGTCCGTGATTATCTGAACCGATAGCTCGTAATTCCCGTGATTAACAAATAGACACCTTTTAATCACGCAGCTGCAGCCGCAGTTACCAGTTAGGAAGGAATGTGAGAGGCAATGGGAAGCTATTCTCAGCAACAAGTGGACGTCACACGGAAGGATCGATGGGAACAAGACCGTAGCCATTGCTATTGCTAGTCTCAAGTTGCTTGTAGGACCAGAAGTCCAACGTGCACGGCTCTTTCCCAAGGTCTCCTCACATTCAATTCTTGGGTCGCAATCACTCGCAGCTGGAACACGGCATGATTTCAGATTGCAGAGTTTGGATTGGAATTAGGTTTGATTATTCCTCTTTCTTACCATTCATGCAAGTTTCCAGGCAAAACAGAGGGAGTAAAATTTGATCGATCAAAAAACTTCAAACGTGTTTGCTTCAATCGGGACAAAACTGTGGCACGACACGATCGACGAATTCACGGCGACAATTCGATGACAGAGAACGAATTAAACAAATCTATGTTCTTTTTTGTACAGTAACGAACGAACTCAATTGAAGGAAACAGAAGATGAGAGGGGAACCGAACCGAAACAACGATCGATCTCGCTTCTCACCAAATCACGACATTGCAACCCGAAGCAAATCGAGGACAGGACGCCGTGTTCTCGTTTGATCCGGTGAAGTGATTGTGGGGGAGAGGAACGAGAGGTCAAGCCCGGCCGGCGCCGTCGTGGGGCGGCGGCGGGTTGAAGAGCGGCGGGGCGTCGCGGCCGCCGAGGTCCATGGACGACTTGGCGGAGGCCGGCGGGGCGGCGAAGCGGGCGGAGAAGTCGCGGTAGCCGGTGTAGTCGCCCTCGGGGCTGGCGCCGTGGCCCTCGTCGAAGTTGAGCGCGTAGCTGAGCGCGTCGTAGTTGAGCTTCCGGCCGTAGTTGTGCGGCCGCGGCCCGCCGCCGCCGCCGCCGCCGCCGCCGCCGCGGCCGAACCGCCGGATGAAGGTCTTCCACCGCGGCCCGGCCACCAGCTCCGACCACTCCCGCACCTTGAGCACCGCGTCCACGGCGCGCTGCCACCAGCTCTCCTCCTCCGCCCCGCCGACCCGCTGGTGGGACGACGCCGACGAGGGCCAGGGGAAGCAGCAGCACCGCCGCCCGCGCCGCGCGAAGAAGGCCGCCTCCGCTTCGTCCATCCCCGACGCGCCGCCGCCGCCGCCGAGGTCGGTGTCCATCGAATTCGTGAGTTTGGGTGGGTGGATTTGCGATTTTGCGTGCGCTGTGTCCGCGCGTGGGTTTTATTGGGGAGGTGGTGGTTTCGGATCGGGCTGGGGAGAGTCAACGGTAGGCGCGGCAGGCTGACGTGGGCCGGGAAACGCGGGCCCGCTTTGTAGGCCGCCCGCCTCTCGCAACGTTCGCTAAAACTCGGTCTACGCTTACTTCTCCGGTTCCATTACTCCCTAACACGCCATTAATCTTATTAAAATATTTTCATACAACTTTATCCAGTCATAATATTATGGAATATTCTTTTCGCACCTCGCAGTGAATACAGTACTGTCATTTCTGCGTTATCAGTCTAGATAGAAAAATGCCCTTTTGATTCGTAGGAAAAAAAATATGAATTTTAAAGAATTTTAATTTTGTAGAAAATTTGTTGTAAAAGTACAATTTTTTTAGAGGAGAAGTTTTTAAAAGTTAAAACAAATTTCCTATGGATCTTTGAAATTCCTATTGTCATTTGAAATTCTTGAAAAATTTTCTTTGAGTTCATCACTCTCATCCGAAATTCATCCGTTTTTTTCCTACGGTCTAATCAATGGTTTTTCTTTGTTTTTTCTTGTTTTGCAATTATTTGATTTTCCCTTGCATCTTAATCAAATTTTCTGTGTATTTTTATTCCTACAATTTAAAAGTGTCTTAACGTATTTTTTACATTGGCGTAACTATTGATGACTTGAATACGGGATCACCTGAACGACAGGATCGGGATGGACAGCGCGGGCACAGCACAGATCGAGGGCCACGAAGCTGGAGCTAGCAGGCAGCTGCACAGAACTTGTGCAGGTAGGCGACCTCTTGCGCCGAAACAGGAAGTACATGATTGGCTATTTGTGATCTGGTGTTCTGGAATAAACAAAGAGGACGAGCATTTCCCCACGGCAATCCGCAGGTGTTAACCGTGTTATCGAGAGGATTAAGCAAGCAGGTTGCTCCAGGCCGTGGCTCAGTCAAACCAAACCAACAACATAATAGTGATCCTTCAAGGCAGTGTCCAATATGTGGGGCTCATGGTTTGTTGCAGCTATCATCCGGAAGCAAAGTGCGTGTTTTTGGATAGGAAGTGTTGGGTACTTGGGGTTGGGCGGCCAGAGGATCAGGCATGTAACGCGTGCGCCTCAGCATTTTGAGGCGCAAGTCATGGATTAGCCGTCAACCTTACGATTTCTGCAGGTTTTCAAGAACTGTCCGCCATTCTGAAGACTGAAATCAATTGAAAATTTAAAAATCAAATTTGGATAAAGTATGCTCCGATGCTTGAAGTTTGGTACCGTGCCATTGCTGATGTGAACTCTGCCAAGCCAGAAATGAAAATGGTCGGAGACTTGGGCGGTGATCTCCCGCTGCGCTGCAAGTTCACGGGCGAACCGTATCTACGGTTGCTTTCAAACAATCTAGGGAGATGCATTTGACAGGGGAGTGGTAAGGGGTGTATAATTTTAACCTAAGGTCCCGTATTTAATTCATAACATATTTACAATTTCTTCTAAAAAAATATTTGCAATGATGTCTCTTCCTCCAAAATCATGTTTTTCAAGCAATCTAGAGTCAGATAAAAATAAATCTCTAATATTATAAAAATTAAAGATGTTTTTGCCGGTACTTTGGTACGTCATCCGTGTAGAATCGGTTTATAAGTTTGTTCGCTTTTAGAAATACAAATCCGTATTTGACTCGGGTTTTAAGTTCGTTCGCTTTTGTAAATACATGAGTCATATAAGAAATCTCTTTAAAAAAACTCGCATGCTAACTTGAGATGATCAGACTTCTAATTACATCACATGGTTTTATATAGAAATATATATATATCCAGACGAATTCTCATAGTAAATTTCACCTTAATTAAACCGTATAACAATAATAAGATTAAAATAGTCTCCACCCGTTGCAACGCACGGGCAATTTTTCTAGTAAATAAAAAAAGGAGAGTTTGAGACCGTAAACTCAACGGCATCCTTGAAAATAATAAAAAAAAGAGTTTGAGATCACAAACCCAACGACATTCCTGACTCGTGAAGAGTACGTGACTAACAAGCATGGAAAAATAACATAACCTTTTCTCGAACTTTTTTTTTAAAGAGTAAAGTGCAAACGTGTGTCTAAATTTATGTGGATATGTCATATTGGTATCTAAACTTTTAAAATTTATTTTTGGATTTCAGATTTATCGTGTGTGTCATATAGATTCAAACGAGCTTCAATCCAATATATCTGCTGATGTGACTTGCCATGATAGTTTATACGTGTCAGTGAAATCTACATATTAGTCTCATATTAAATAAATAAATAAATCATTTTCTCCTCTCGCTCTCTCATATCCTCTCCTCTCTTTGTATTTTTTTTTCAAAATTTCAAAACATTCTTTTTTTCCCCTCACTCTTTAATTTTATTTTTACTATTTGACTGACACGTGGATCCCACCAACAGACATAGACGTCACCGTAGCATATCACGGTAGCGCATGGAATGGGTCTAGTCTATTTGGACCTGTATGATATTTTGATATTCAAAAGTATATTATAAGAGTTCAGGAATCTAGATGATACACGTACACAAGTTTAGATGCCGTCCGTGCACTTTACTTCTTTTTGGAGGAAAATTTCACGAACTTCATGAATCCTGTAATATCACACGGAACATGAACGCTGGCCCGCCTATAAATCCTAATCGCCTAGGCCGCGTTTAGAGTTTGTTCTGCCTTCTAGAGGATCGCTAGGAAAGTTCCATATGATGAGACGGAGCAGCGCGCGTCCAAAATGGTCTTGGTTACGGACTATAGAAGACGGCAAGAGGCCCATGATTTCAAGGCCCGAGACAAACCCAACAAGAAGCCGATTGCCCTAGCGGAAAGCCTACCATGAAACTTCCAACGGGCCGCCACCCAAGTGGATCCAGTAAACGGCGGACGACTCCACGGGAAAGCGCAACCGAGCCCAACTGCTAAGCCCCAGCCATCGTCCGCTGGTGACTCACCGGCGGCGAAACCCCGGCGGCTGGACTCGCCAGTGATTTGCCGTATGCGCGTATGTTCTCTCTCCCTCTCCTCTCCCGCGATAGTGGATTCGAGTTGCAAATGTAGACAGCGGCCGGAGCCCGGGGAGATCATGGCGGTAACAGAAGACGGGAGATTGCCAGATCGCAACCGCAAGTAAGGAGATCGCCAGAACGGATTGTCCAGCATCTCGAACTTTGTTGGCTTATTGTTTGGTTATGATTTTCACGTTGGCTAGAAAAAAAAAACTCCGTAGTACTTTTGCAATTGAGGATCCCAACTCTCTAGTTAACAAGGTAAAATAGTTTACGAACTATATTATTCTTTCTTGAGTGCATACTATAGGGCTCCTGATGCCCGTCCTGCTGACGCCTGTTCCTAAGATCATGACATCATGTTTATCTCATATCATCTCCAAGTGAAGCACATCAATCTTCCACTACCTAGGAGTAGTTAGTAACTTGTACATGCTATCTCAGGATTTGATGTTCCTTCTGGCTTCTGTTACCGGTCAGATCGCTGATCGGTTTTCTTGGATCAATCTGATTGGAATTAATTATGCTTATCAAGGAATTTGACCACCAGGTAATCCATCGCACCTCAAATCAGAATAATGTGGTTGAGGTAAGGATCATAGCTTCCCCTTTCAAAATTCGTAAATGATGATATGGCCATATGGCCTTCTTACTTTAGTGCTATAGAACAATATTGCAGGTAATACCGAGACAATAAGCAAATGGCCGTTAGGTGTTTAACATCCAGTACTGATATATTGGAGCAACTGTTATTTGTTCTTAAAACTGCAAGAGGAACATAGCTGAGGCTGATTTGGACTCGGTTTTGCTGTTTTTGATTAAATGAATCAGGGCTTGTTCAGTCATAAGGGTTTTTTTTTTCGCCGGGCCGGCCAGAGTACAGTCATAAGGTTTGCAGCTGTTCTATACTTGAAGTGGAACTGTACGAAGATACGTGCTTAGAGAATTAAGGTTTCCACTAATAATTGTTCAGAGGTTGTTACAGATGAGAATCAAGAAAAGATTATGTACGTTTAATGCATATCTAGTACATCTGTTCAAAATGTGAACTAATGATTGTCTATTACTTTAATGCTTTGCTTGTCATTTCTGATCATTGATAGATTGGTCCGTACTGCCTTTTATTTTCAGGAATAACTGCATAGCGTAAAAGATAAGTCTAGATCATGGGCAGTACTGCTGTGCTGCATGCATGTAATTGTTATCTAGCTTTTTGATAGATTGATTGTCCATGCAGACCATCCAGAACGTTGATGTGTATCTTTCTGACTTACTGAGCCCACGATATAGTAGCTTTTCTGTTTCACTGTGTTTGCATGATCCACTGGTTGACAGTTTGCCTTTCCATCTAAGCTGGTAGTGAATGTTTGTAGGAGAAGCAGGAATCTTCAATGGTTGAAAGCATCTGTAGCAGAGACATGATCCATCATCGATCATTTGCTCGTGTCAATTTCCATGAGATGTAAAGCATTTCCAGTTGGACAGGTGTTGTTCACATTCTTCCTCTTTTTTTTTCTTTTTTTTTTGCATTTGATAAGTTCCATTAATTCTCTTTCATAGAATGATTTCTCATGTGATGCCTCCATCTAAGATCTAACTTTTAGGTGAAATCGGGCTTTCAAAGGATATAGGATTCTAGATGTTCAGAGAGGTCCTGGGCTATGGGAGATGCATAACAAAGGTGTTTCCACTGCATAGCAGTGAGGTATGCGTGTTTCATGTATTGATCCTTCTGCATTTCAGACAACTTATTCTTTATTTTTTTTTTCATTAGGAGAGGGAAAGCAACCTACCTTCACTTCTTTTTAGTATGAGGATTAGATGCAAACTAAAACTTTGCAATAAACTTATCAGAAAAGTTCAGGTTCCATGTTACGCATATTATTACTGACTTGTCGGCATTGTGATATATACAGATATGATAGAAGGTGAATAAAGATAAGCATCGATCCATATTGTCGGAATAGTTAGGTTGCTACCTTGTGATTAAAACACGACATTTGCAGAAACAATGAACCTTAGGCTTTGGGTTGCATTCGTTTGGACCTTCCTGAGATTGGTCCCTCGATCGGAAGATGCTATCAAGCAGTATTACTCGACGTACTAACTTCCAAACAGAGTTGGGACTTCAGTGGATGGTCCACTTCTTTGTTGCAATTTCTTTTTCCTCCAAATCATATTTTATCGCCGGCATTTCCATACTAAGCCAGCAAACGATTGCTAGGAAAGTTGCAGTTGTCACTCATGAAGTAATGATTGATGGAAAAAAAATCCACATACATCGCTCTCGATCCTTTCTCCGGCAGTTGATGCATCTGAAAGTGTGAGCTTTCGCAGTGCAGATTTTGCAATCTTTTGCCGTCTGATATCACACTATCATCTACATCAACGGATCGACCTGAAGATAAAGAAATCAGGTAAGTAGGTAATGCATTACATGTAAGCATGTTTATTGGTATTTTTGCTGACTTCCCACTGTGTGCTTTCGGATCCTCCCGACCAAAAGAGCACCTGAGTTGATAAATTACAAGGTGATCTTGTACTCTACCTTAGAGATATGCACCTTTTAAGCAAACATATTTGTACTAGGATAGCTCTAGGTGGCCACCAAGGTTAGTGTCCACTCGCTGCTTCGCACTTGTGAGAGACAGGAAGCATAATTTACGCTCTCTGATTTCTCTCGCCATTGCTATCTGGTGCAGTATTTGTATGTGCCCCTGCCTCTTGCTCAATACATACGCATCATACGTTTGCAGCACCGGGCCTACTACCTGAGCTGTATTATCATCAGCATATATTCACCTCAGGCATCATATAGAATACTACAAATTAGTGGATGTGCCTCCGTTGTGGAGAACACTGAAACCCACCATGGCACTATGCTCCTCTTTCTGTCTCACTACAGGCTCCAACTGTTCCCGCATGGGTTTGTCTTCTTGCATCTGCACACGCACAGAATAATTCATTCTTCGCATCGCAACTTGCAAAAGCTGGTCGCTTGCCTGATGCTGCGCCCTGACGCGTGCTTTCGCTAGCTAACCTTTACATGTGTTCAGGCGTGGATGGTTTGTTCAGGGCCTTGAGTTTCTTCAGAAAATCTGCTAGTAGCGTCTTGTTCAGGCAGCTGGTTTGATCATCGAGCTTGAACGCTAGCCCTCATTGAATGCCTGAAGCCGATTGATGGGTTTTATGGATGGATTAGTCGAACTGTCGAAGCTGCCTGGTTGTCCCAGCAAGCATGATCGCCGTGGTGCAGATGTTGCTGTCCCTCTCTGCGATCATGTCAATTATAGCACGGAGCCTTCGTTTTAAGTTGCCATGTCCAGACACCATGCTTCCATGGACGCGGATCAGAAGTGTACAACCCAACGCGTTTCACCTGTGCCCCAAAAAAAATGAGTTAAAACGATGCATTCAAGCTGTGGCGCCTGCTGCCCCCATCCTGCTTGTTTTGCATGGTCCCCCCTGTTCAGGTTCAGGGAGAGAGGTGAGGTGAGGTGAGGTCCCCCTTGCTTGGGCCGTGCGATGCGGCAGCTAGCGTGAAGGCACGCTCGCGAGTTCGGCACTCGCTTTCGGTCGGGGGGGCCATTCAATTAAGCTGCATGGACGCACGTAGGACGGCGACGTTCGTTAGCCACGGACGCCGGAACGCTTGCGTCCACTTCCCCGGAAAGCTCGACGGAGAGAGGGAGAAGGCCCCGGTAGGCCTTTGCTCACCCTGCAACAATATGCTGTCGGGCCGGGTCGACATCGACAGCCCGAGGAGGAGGAGATGCGTTAGCTATCCAGACTATCTCGACAGAGGAGCTCATGGTGAAAAAAGGATTAAGTTTTTCTCTCGCGGTTCAGTAGCTTGGACATTAATGGCAGCCAGCTCGAGCGGTTGTGCTATCACGTCCGGTGATACAGATTACAAGGGGACACGGGGAGTAAGTGCCAGGGGTGCAAGAGGCGGCAAGCGAAGCCGGCGTGGGGACCGACCGCTGCACGCTGCAACCTGCAAACGGAGGTGAAACCTCTGCCCTGCTACAAGCAGTATACACGACGTAAACGCTGCTGACATTTTTGGTTTTCCGTTTTTAAAGCCTTTCGGCTCAGGTCAGAAATCGTATGGCCCGTGGTTTTTCTACGTGTGTTCTCTTTCGCTGTTGCTTTCGGTGTCTCACCGAGGGCAACGTGCCAAGTGCGAGACGCCATGAAATCGCTGGAGTCGCTCACAAAACTGTAGCTCAAAATGGAGGTGGTGCTTTGTCCGGTCCCTGAAGGCTGAAGCCTCCGTCGCCCCTGCAGGCCCACGTGTCGCCCTCCCGTCGTCTCACCGATCCATCCTGCTCCAGAGACTACTACTGCTGGAGGCCACCCGTTCGCGTCAAACTCCAAACCGGCGCAGTGGCCGCCTTGGCGCCACATCCGGCACCGTCAATTCGGCGCAGCAGTGAGCCCCATTGGCATTACACGGGAAGGCCCCTGTGTCACGGAGCATTCACGCCCCGGTCGATCTCATCGTACAAGGCCACAACGCCTGTGACGGAGACGTGGTTTGGCGGCATGGGATGATGAGAGGCCCCGGCGATAGATCACGCCGTACAAGGACCGGATAGTGTGGCCATGATGCAAGCCTGACCCGGGACAAGCGAAAACGTCCAGATTGTTTAGGCGATCAGGTTCCAGCTAGCTGATGCTGATTTTACATGTCACAGGTCGGCACGGCACCTCTCGCATGGTGACGAGGTTACGTTTGGTTGGACGGAACACGGGCGTGTGGCCGGTGATTCCAGGATCGATCGTTCGCGGGGCCGGGCCCCGTGATACGGTGATCAGAAGCTGCCACACGCAGGGGCGCCGGTTCGGTCACTGCTACGCCACAGTTAAATCTGCCGGTCCGGCGGAAGCTGACACGAGGAAACGGGCATGGCATCATGGCGCGGCATGGCGTGGCGTGGCGTTGCGTGGCACTACGTGTATGTATGCGCGTCCGCGTACATGTCAGGCGCGCGCGTCAGACGCCATCGTCGATCGTTCAACGCACACCGTACCGTCAGATCAGATCAGATGGCTGCCGGACTCGGACGGATGCGTGGGTCGGACCGGCTCAATTAAAGCCTTTTAGCCTCTTCGATGGATCGACCGGAGAACAAGACGAGGGAGGAGGAGAGAGGGAGCGTGCATGCATGCAGATCGCAGATGACTGCGCGTCAGCTGTACGCGCACGGCGTCTCGTCCTGCACGGCGCCTACCTTTCGCGTGTACCGTGGCGTGGCGTGGCGTGGCGTGGCGTGACGCCAGCCAGGTAGACTCTCGTACGTGGCCCCCCTCGCCCGCGCGTGTGCCAGCGCATGGCCCGCCCCCACGTCGCGGCGGCTTTGCGCGCGCGATGCCTCCCGCCGAAAGGAAAGCCGAGAGGGCAGAAGCGCCGTGCCAATTCCCCCTCGCGGCCTCGCCGGTGCGTCCCCCGTTTGCCGGAGCACGCTGATGCTGCCGGTGACAGGAGCGAGTCCTGCCTGCGCAGCGCGCGAGATGCCGTACGTGCGTGTAGCGAGACGCATCGTACGGCGGCTGGTGCGCTCGTCTGTCGACCGGGGCTGTGCCTAGAGATGCCTTTGCTTCCCTTCTTTCGTGCCGATCGAACCCTTTTTCTCTTTTGCCATCGATGGTCGAGGAGGCGACGCCATGATGGGGGTGGTGGGCTAGGCTAGGCTACCACCCGTCTCGATCGTCTTTTGTTCCTCCTTCCGAGCACACACACCATCATGAGCGCTCTGGCGGACGATCCATGGCTTTTGCATGCGTGCCGGCCGGTCGCCGCTGCCCTTTGAATCGTACCACCACCACAAGCTGAGACTTCAGAGGACTCGCTCTTCAGCTCTCGTCTCTCGTGTCTGGAATCTCTGAGCCGGCCGTGCTGTCCAGTGCATATCCGACGCAGATGCAGGTGGGAGGGAGTACGCCGTTGCTGTTGACGACTTGACCGGTCCAACTGTCCAAGTCCAGACTTTTGCTGGTGGCATCTGGGCTGCGAAAGATAGTTTCATCAGATGGACTATCGATCGGTAGCCATGAGACGATCGTGCGTGTCCATGTCCAGGGAAAGCTCCGGTGATCTTTGTAGAACGTGGTGTTTTCCCCACTTTTTCTGAGAGCTCTGGAACTGTGCTTGGGCCGAAATAATTGAATTGACAACAATTTATGGCCTCTTTGGAATGACAAATGTTACGCTGGTTACCTCATGTAGAGTGCTAATCAATCGCCTGTAATTGGTGGACCTAAACGCATCCCCTCTGGTATGAGAAACCATGTAGCGGTGATTCCTTCGTGATAAAGTGGGTCACATGTTTGATTACAGAAAGCCCAGCTTGAATGATGCAGATGGCCGGTGATTATTCGCGGCATGCATCATGCTTCATGCATGCCGCGAGCTGGCCAGCCTGTGGTCACTTCCGACTTTTTCGTGCAACTGTGAAGCCACAAACCAAAACCATTTTTCGCGAAACAATGCATCAATGGCAACTACTGTCGTTTCACAGGTCTCGGAAAAGTCTTAAAAGGATAGTCAAAGTGATTTGGCCACTCTCCCTTCTCCTTTCGATGCGAGCATTAGGCATTGATCCGGTTCATTGAACCGTGAACTTTTCTAATCTCTTATTAAACCACGAGGAACAAATGCCGAGTCCTCATATTTTTCGTAGGAATAGGATTGGCATACCATATTCGCAAGCTCACTATCACTCTATCAGACTCACCTGGTCAAAAGAAAGGGAAGAAAAATGCTGATTAGACTTGGTAAATTCATCTGGAATCCCAGCTCTAAAATCTCCGGTAAGTAATGCGCCTTTAACATCTTGGCATCCGGTCACACTAAGCGACGACAGGTCAGATGCTAGTTTCTTTTTTTATACATTGGCGGTCACGTGGTTTGATAGAGGTGCTAGTTTTTTTTATTATAGCCTCCACTATAGTTTTGTAATTTTTCTCTTACTATATCAATATAAAATTATACGTGATATTATTTGTTTTGAATAGTGTTTATATCAAATATAGTACAAAATTGGTTACAAAGTATGACTTGAATTGTAATACTCCCTCGCCAAAAAAAAAAACCAATCCAGGAGGCGGTGTGACAAGTCTAGATTCGTTGTATTAGAAGTGGTTACATCCCCTCTTAGGTTGGATTTTTATGGGACGGAGAGTGTAGGTATTTAGAATAGCAGTAGAGTTGGATTTCTTATCCTAGTCTATCTCTTAAATAGAGAGGCACTACATATTATAACAGTACGATCATTGTAACATAGGCGAGCGAACGATTAGCCCTGACATAACTTAACAAGAATTGTCGATACCTTCTTTTTTTTAACGAATCAACGAGCGCCAATTTTATTGAATAGAGAAGGAGAACTTTACAAAGCGAAAGGAAAAAAAGAAAGGAGCTAAGACCTTTGGTCCGAGCTAACTAAAAGAAAGCCACCTATTAAGACTTCTCGCTCCTGCTAAGGCCCAAGTTTTGGCCTCTTCCTTGATCTTGGCTAAAAGGGAGGTAGCTGAAAGCTCCTTCTGTTGGAAGGTTCTGCGATTCCTTTCGTTCCATATCTCCCAGGCGACCAACAACATCAAAATGCAGAGTGCCTTCTTAGGTGTCTCTTGTATTTTTGCGGTAGCCTCCCACCAATCTAGCACCGTTGAAGTTTGCCGCCATAGGCTAGGATTTATTTGCTCGCACGTCGCCCACTACGCTAGTGCCGCCCAGACTCTTTTTGTGTATCTACATTCTGCGAGGAGGTGCATAGCTATTTTCTGGATCCGACGACATAAGGGGCAGATGGAACCGTTTGGCCAACCTCTTGTCGCCAGCTTGTCAGAGGTCCAGACTCTGTTTTGGATGATTAGCCAGGCGAAGGTCTTACACTTACGCGGTGCCCAGGCTTTTCCAGATTAGCCTGTTGAAGTTGGTAGCGGTGGTTCCAAGAAGTTGCGCGTTATATGCCGATGCTGCTGTGTACTCGTCGTGGTTAGTAAGCTTCCATGTTATATTGTCCTCCTCGTGCTCTACCAGGTGTATAGCCTGAACGGCGCTCCAAACCCCGACAAGTTGATCAATCAGGTCTGTCGTCCATCCCGCAGTCCCTGGCAGGTCCAAGTCAAGAAGCCATTGGTTCGCTTGCGAAGGATGATGCTATTTTTTAAGGACCGTCCATAATCAATGCTCTGGGATGTAGTTTGACAAATATCGTGTCGGTGCTGTTAGCAAGTTTGGAACTTATATGATATTCTTTCACATTGACCCCCATGTCATTGTCAATGTCTCTTTTACAACAATAAACCTATGCATGTTTTTCATATTACCACGGCTCTTCCTATGTGAAGGATTTGGGTATAAAAATGAAGATGCCTTTAGAAAGACAAAGGCTGCGTTCGTTTCAGCCTCTTCCCAACCCCTCTCCCTCGTTTTCTGCATGCACGCTTTTTCAAACTGCTAAACGATGCATTTTTTTGCAAAAAGTTTCTATACGAAAGTTGCTTAAAAAATCAAATTAATCCATTTTTTTTAAAAAAATAGCTAATACTTAATTAATCACACGCTAATGGATCGCTCCCTTTTTCGTGCGGAGGAGATGGGTTCCCAACCCCTATTAACGAACACAGCCTAAGGAGAAACTACACCTGAACTGAAACTCGCATTTCGCTTCAAGTAGTCCTGCTATGTATGAGCATGGTGGATGCAACACAATGAGATACGTGGAAAGCAGATCCTATGACTTAACTACACATATAGTTGAGTCACTGATACGTGGGTTCCACTTTAGTAAGGTCCATATATCAGTGGCTCAACTGCACAATAGTTAAATTAGATAATCCTTTTCCGTACGTAAATGCAAGCCTTTTCTTTTTTCCCGGAGAAGAGGGGAGATGAAGGCACTAGCCGTGGAACGAACTGAACAGGTCTAACAACCATTCAACCAAGAGGTTAGGCGGCAGATTCAGAACAGTGGCGGAAAATGAGCAGGGGGAGCACAGGGACCCCAACAAGGCACTTAAATG